AGTTACATGTGTATATCTTGGTAACCGCTGCACCGATTTCATCCAAACTTGGCACAGTTGTTGGTCTTGATACAGCATACTAAATGGCCGAAAATTTTAAAAATCGGACAATAACCACGCCCACATCCCATGTAACGGTAATTTTCGGAAATACGAAAACTGCGACATTTTAGTAACTCCTGAAGATTATTCACTCAAAATTGATATTTACAACAATTTTTAGGCGAAAAATAAAAATATTATAAATTTTTGGAAAAAGGGGCTAGCCACGCCCACTTATGGTTACATGTGTATATCTTGGTAAGCGCTGCACCGATTTCATCCAAACTTGGCACTGTTGTTGGCCTTGGTACAGCATACCAAATCGCCGAAAATTTTTAAAATCGGACAATAACCACAGTCCACAGGGTAATTTAGAGAAATACGAAATCTTCGATAAATCAGTAAATATTAAAGCTAATTTATTCAAAATTGACGTTTGCAACAATTATTTACCAAGAAATACGTTTATGGTAAAATTTTGGAAATAGGCGTGGCACCGCCCACTTATGATCACATATATGTACATCGGTAACCGTTCTAGGAATTTGTACCAAACTCGGTATGGTTATTTCGCTTGCCACATAAAAGCAAAGCGTTGAAAATTATTGAAATCGGACTAAAATTACGGCCGCTTTTCATATAACGGTAAGTTTCAGAAATGGTTGAAACTTCAATATTTCGAAATTTAAGGACGCTAATTTACTCAAAATTGATACACCCCGGCTTACCATGTAGCGGTAGCTTTCGGAAAGGTGAAAAATATATATGTATTTAATACTTGCGCCGGGTATTTAATGTTCGGCTCCGCCCGAACTTAGACTTTCTTACTTGTTTTTTGATAACACTGTGCGACAGCTCAAATCGGCATTGAGTAAAACATTTGGCAAGAGATAGTTTTTGAATTTCATTGAGTTTTTTTTTTAATAAATACTAAAATTAGAGGTGTATGAATGGCGAAAGAAAAACTTTATCCGATTTTTTTAAATCGAAACTACATTTCTACATATGTACATATGTACATGCATACATAAATATATTTAATATGAAATTGAAATTTTCACATCAATTTGCGCTATCTTCAAATCCATGGTTTCAATTGTACGCATATCGTCAGGGTTTTCCCCACAACTTGGTTTTGCTGCAGTGAAGCGACAGAGCAAGTGAAGATAAAATATATGGACATAGTATCTATGCACATATGTATCTATGCACATACGTATCTATGCACATACATACATTTGTACCAAGAATGATAGAATACAAGATTGCGCCAATGAGAGAGGATTTTTGAGCGTAATTTTTGAGTGACGTCATCTTGGTGCAATTGCGAGAGAGAAATGCCAAAACGCATATAAAAATATGTAAACAATGCAGAAATATGTGTTAATTTTAATATAACATGGCCCAATTTTGCAGGAATCAATAAATATACAAAGACTGATTAATTAGGAACACGTAGCAATAATTTTGAACATGTAGCCCTTTAGATAAGTACGATTTTTAGCACATGAAAAAATGGATGTATTAACAGTGTTTGCAATTTCATGTAGACCAAAAGGAAGGTGTGCAGCAAAGTGAATTTTTGGACAAGCCATGCAGAGTGCATATTTATATTTGTGGACGGTAGCCAACCACCATAAACTCCACAGCTGTTGACTCCACAGCTTTTATTTGATGACTTTTGTACCATTTCCGAGAGGATGCATGAGTTGTGGCTTTTTTGGAAGCAAATATTCTATGTCAGTAAAACATAATTTAAGCTGAACTTTTAAATGTATAATAATTTGGGCACTGTTTTGTATTAGGTACGTAACAGCGCGGTAAAATGCCGCTTGAATTAGCGCCTGGCGACCTTATCCACCGGTGCATTACCTCATGCCAGCACTAAAACGATCAGGTTCTAACAAAAATAAGTTGGTAGTGAAGTTCATGTATCCATTTACTGTAGAAACCATGGTGAAATAAATATAAGGTGATGTCACTTACATAACCTCACTTTTTCTGCATGCCAATTGCGGTCATGCATTTGAGGGTAGTAGAAAAAGGGGGAAAAAATTTGGATTATTTTTACTACTTTTTGGGTACTATTTCCAATACTGATTTCGAATATATACATATGGACATATATTCAAAGCTCTCGCTATCAGTGTATTTTCCTATAAGAAATACTTTTGTTTAACTGTTTAAATTCAATGAATAGGCATACAAACAAAAAAATTGTGTATTTATATCATTTTATGGATTTATTCAAATCTTTAATACGAAAATGCATTCTACATTTAAAAAAAGTTTTTTGACATTTTCCGCCATGTGAGAAGTTTTGAGGCGTTAAGCATTTCTTGCATATAATTTGGACCGCAATAAATTACCTTCCCATTAAATTTTATAAAAATGGTTTCTAAGAACAATAACTCCTTCACAAACGCAGAACTAGGCTTTATTAAACCGCCTTTCGACAATTCATCAACCCAAGTGAACGTATTGTCCGTGGACTCCATACCAGTTAAATGAAGCTTGCGGATAATATAGTCCTCGTGGAACTGGTCTATGTCGCTCTCTATGTTAAAATCATCATCGGCGTCAGACTCGACTAGATATCCCGAGATGTAGTCACAATGAGGTATGTCTCTCAGTGGAAGCCAGTTGGTATCATCTTCGCCAACATTTCCTCTTCCAGGGAGGAGTGCTGTATTTTGTGCTAAATTTTACATGAAAGGTACAAAATACGCATACTAATTAAATATATTATAGAAAAATCTTTTATAAGCCTATCCTACCAAGAAGATATTTTCGAAGCCGGTATTTGAATTGCATCGGTGTTGGATTATCGTGCAACCCACCCCTCGCCCTCATTGCACCGAAAAAGTTCTCCAACACATCTTGGTTCAGCCGATAGGTTAGCAAATACCGCAAACCAAATTTTTCTTGCAGACAATAGATCAACGACCGTAGAAATTCGTTGCTCATCAAAATTCCTTTCTGGAAAGGAAGAAGCGTTCTCCTACTGGTTACCTTTGCATTGAGGACAATGGAGTCCATCGTTTCTAAAACTTTCGTCTGTTGCTCCATATCTACCCCAAATGGCCTTTTCGAAGGAATAGTTTGTATCGTGGTCATCTTTGTGTTCATTAAGTCGAACCAATCATTAATGGCGTCAATGAAGTCAGCTGTTTCTAGCGGATTATAAAGCTCTTCACCCATTTGATAACATCGCCTTATAACGCTAGCTCTGGTGTGGGAAAACAGCTGGGAGGCAAGGCTTACCTTTTGGCGACCGGCATGGTGAACTGTCAAATGTTTCTCTGTCAATTTATGTGAAATTGACAGATCTGATGCAGATGTGCAGCGCATAATTTGACTTATCGTTTGAGGACATATTATTTTGTTGCGAATAACAAAGCCATCGTCCAAGAAATGGTTCCGAATCAGCTTTAGCAAATGCGGAGCATCCGCGAATACAAAAATTTTGTCTTGCTCTTCAGCTGGGTTCGGAAACCATGTTTTTTCTAAAAGTATACAAAAACAGAATTATTAAAAGCTACTGCTATTTTTCTGCTTATATAAAGAACACTGTACCCCTGGAAACTCCTAATTCTCGCCACAGCCCTTGATTTCCTGTACCCATGTCGGATACTACTGCAACTACGGGATAGCCAGCACGAGAGAGATTAACTATAATTTCTTCTATTATACTTTTTGTAATTTTGCAGTCAAATGCATAGAAGACGGGCTGCTTCCAGGACCATTTAAGTCCCCTAGCTATCACCATTTGAACATACTTCTTCGGCGATCTCACAGTATCCGTGAGAGGATCATGTTCAAAGGCCGAAGCAATCTTCATCTCATCAAATACCAAAACACAAAGCCTGTCTACCAATTCTATTTCATTCACGGCCTCCATTGCGTCTATAACGAAGTGTAGAATTCCGTCGTCGAACTTTAGCTTTTGCAGCCACCTCGTCAATGTAGACTCCGAAGGCAGAGGAAATCCTTTCCGGTATAAATGAGTATATGCCCTTGGGCCCGCTGCATTCATGGCAATGCCCACGCTATGTCCTCATATTTCCACCGCATTTGTCTACTGGGAGTTTCTAGTTTTCGCACTTGATTCAGGGTAAAAACAGAACGGAAACTGGTCCGCATCGCCCTAAGCTCCTCGATTTCCGCCTTCATTTTAGCTGCCTCAACCAACAATTTTTCAACTTGCTTTTTCAAGGCGACGTTTTCCCGTTGGAAACTGCTTTCGATGACGGTTCTGTTACATAAAAGTTTTATTCGCACATACATACGTATCAAATGTTATACATAAAACGTACTCTGTTTGAGTGGACGAGTTCTTAAATTTGCCACCTGGCTCATCCCAACTTTTTAAATATTCCACCTTCATTGGAACTGCTACTCCTGATAAACGCTTACGTTGGCCATAATCATCTGTCTCGTAGTCTTCATCTTCGAAATGAAGCTGACAAACTCTTGCATTTGGCTGCAGTTTTACACCACACGCCTCAATCCATTTTTTCTTTTTTATTTCTTCCTTAGGGACTCTAAAAAATCTCAGCTTCGTACTTGCCCACGTTGAATGGCACAAGGCGCAGGATATTCTGTTCAGTGTCTACATTATGAACAAATAATTAAGTTTAAAACTGGACGTATTAAGTTTAAACCGGGACCGTCGTCATTAATAAATAATTTAGATCAGTGGCATCCATAAAACATTTTTGGTGTAAACTAGTATAATAATAGATTTATGTTTTCACTCAAAAGAAATTATTATTACTATTTTTATTTCCATCAAAAATAATGATTATAATAATTATTCAGTTTTATTTTTCTACCTCAAAATTATTATATATAAAACTTAAAAGGCCACGTAGACGTACCACATACATAAGAGGTATAAAAACTATTTTCCGCCCTTCATTTATTCTTATTAAAACAAATAAAATTAAACCGTTCTCTTTATTTAATTATATTTAACTTCTAATAAAAATAACATATCATCAAGTATGGAATTTGATTTGTACTTTTTTTCCTTAAGTTCTGAAGTATATATGCGTACTAAGTTTTTAAATAACTTAACTTTAACGGGAATTTTATTACAAACTATATTTTCGTTACCATTTAAAACTTACACATCTAAATTCTATCTGTTATATTATTAAATAATTATACGTTTAAGTGGCTAGACCGAAGTCCCGCATCATAGTCATCCGAGCGGAAACGCTTGGAGATAAGTACCGAATCCGTGATTAGTGTGAGCCATGGTGTATTAATAATTATATCATTACAAGATGGTGTAAGCATGGGTGTAAGCCAAAAACAAATAAAAAAATAAGTTACCAATTTGATTCATTGGCAATTGCTAAATTCTTACCTGAAACGCAATTGAAAAATCTCTAGTTGTAGAAGGTGATGATGCTGCTGGTGTGCACTACTCCAAAAATCTGTTGGAAGAAACACAAACATAAAGACTGGTTAGGGTCTGATAATATAAATGTTTTGGATTTCATAATTTCCTACCTGGAACTTGCTTATTAAAACGCTGCTGGTAGCGCAGCTTGGCGAGACACTGCTCCAAAAATCTGATGGAAGAAACACAAACATAAAGACTGGTTAGATTCTGATGATATAAATATGTTGGATTTAACAATTTCCTACCTGGAACTTGCTTATAACACCGCTGTTGGTAGCGCCGCTGATGAGACACTGCCCCAATAAACAACTGTAGCCAGCTCTAAAACTTAAAAGGTGCTGTTCTAAAAACCTTTTGTGAGAAAAATACATTAGTTTGGTGAATGCATTTAGTTTGCGAAACTTACCTGGAATTATCTTGAATAAATCGCTGCTTTTTACGGGATAATAGCTCAACCTATTTGAAGAAATATATAAACAATTAAATTTCATCAATATGCACATATATATGTATATATTTTAGCAAAAATTTACTTACAAAATCACAATTATTGCAAACTATCGCTCAGATTTTCCAATAAATTTTAAACGAAAAGTCAGAGAAAAGGAGACTCAAAGAAATAGTGATACCTACGCTTACTTTTTTCACAAGATTGTTGTCTGCTACATTTTTTGTTCTATTTTGCCCAGAAAGGAAATTGGAATAAATAGAGTAGGCATTACTGTAACGCTGGTATGCCGAAATTGCCAAAACTACAACAACCACCCCCTAAGTGACAACACCTTATTATTATTTCACCATGTGTAGAAACTGCTTTTGTATGTATGCCATTGCCAGCAAACTAAACCAGAAACTGTCTACATTCACCATGGAAATATACCTACTACAATTCACCAAGGAAAGGCCAAAATAGTTCCATGTAGAAGCTAATAGCTCACACACATGGCACAAAGCTTGATTTGGTGTTTAATGCATGTCCTCGCCGGCAGAACTGCTTCCACTTTTTCGCCAGGTTTGCGTCCGTAGGAAACGAAAATAAAACTTATATAGCACGCTTTCCTTTTGTTTTCACTATTACACTTTGCCACTACACGCTTCATTTTGCTCTTTAATGTCTCAATAATTGTTTAAAACCACGCAGAAATATTAACGCACAAATATTAAAATTGTACTTTGGTTTTTTCGTATGCTCACATTCAACAATTGCACCAAGATGACGTCACGCACACAGCTCATTCTGTCAAAATCACAAAGAGCGGATTAGCGGTACCGCGATTGGCGCAATCTCTATTTCTCTCAATCGTGCATTTGTACCTAGGTATGTATATCAGCATTTTAGTTGAAAGTACGTTTTGCTCGTCGCTCTCTTCATCGCTCCATTACATTCCTGTCCTTAGTTTTATTCAGATAACACAAAATCAATAATACAAGGTTAGATAATTATTGACAGCTGCGGTTTGACACTCCCTTACAAAAGGTTGCATTTACGAAGGACGGAGAAAAGGGAAGAATGAAATCTCTTGGTGCGAAAATGGTAGTAGAAAAGTACGCAAAGTAGGCAATTAGTAGTGTAGTTCATTTTGTAAATTCTAATGTATTTGAGGGAATCTGGCATTTTAAACGAAATGTT